GGGAGGGGGAGGGGTTGCTGTGAGGAATGGAGACAAAAAAGGGATTTTTTACGGGTTTCACGCTCTGTTTTATGTGTGTAAACACGCAAGTGCTATCTAGTCAAAAGTAGTGTGTCTTAGACACACTTTTGAAAGGTTGAGTGAGTAAAAGGTTTCCCGTGAAGGAGAGGTGTGTAACAGAGATTTCGCTACAAGGTTGATAGGTAAATTATATATTCTGCCTACATTAAATATATAACTATACACATATAATATATAAATTATATATATATATATATATATATATATATTATACATCAACCGCTATTTTTAGTTTAAGTAATTGGATGGACCACTATTTGAATTACCTCAGATTGTTTTTGAAAATCTTGTGCATTAAGCACAGTGTTATTGGGCCCGTGCTATCTCTAACTAGTTGTATTTATAATAAAGTAGCAAAGTAATAATGTAGCGAGTGACGTCTCTCTTTCTTTTTTTCCCCTTTTGACGTGTCATAATTCAGGTTTGAATTTTTGTTTTTTGTCGTTTTCGCAAATCCGGAAAATTTGATCTTATGGTCATTTATATTTTCTTAGTACTTCAATCATAATTCGGTTATATTAATATGACAAAATAATTTTGTGTTTTTAATGTGATATTATAGTGGAAAAAGGTCAATCACATGAAATTAACCACACGTTTTTCTTTTTCCCATTTCAGATATATTTTTTATAACTTTCTTTATCAAAGAATTAATATGTACTACTAAATTATGCACCATTTTTGGCTATTCATTAAACCAATTTTATCCCTAAATAGTATCTACAGAACAATAAAATCATCACAAGTTATTCCTTTTTCTTATATCAGACAAAATTTTGTAATTTTTGATTTCTTAAGAATTTATATCTACTTAATCATTAACCATTTTTTCTCCTTTATTAATATTCGCAAAAACTTTTTATCTGTAATGGATCTGTTTGATGTTATAAGTGATGATCTAGTAAAACATATATTAGGTAAACGAAATAATAGAATAGGAAGAAGTTGAACTAATTTAACTTAAAGGGGGAAAATCNTATATATATATATATTTTATTTTATTTTTTGATACTTATAGTTTCTTTTTGCTCTTTTATGGAACTTTATCACGCGGCCCTTCATTCTGCCCGGCCATGTAACCTCTCACGTAGGGGCGGATTTAGCACTATAGAGCTAGGTTTATTTAAATCCATAATCACTACAAATGTGAAAAATATTAAACTTTAAAATTTATAGCTCAAGCAAAATGATGAGTAAACAAAAAGGGTTCAGAAATAACCGAGAAAGGCATACAGATGGTATCAGTTTGGGAATATTTTTAACAGCTAGCAGTAGTCGTTTGAATAATTCAATGTCTCTGGTGCTCGAAAACCAAATCAAAGAGGAATATGTAATGACTTGGTAGTATATATTTAATATAAAAAATAGATCTAAGTCAAGTTTAGATAAATTTTTATGTATCGAAGCTTAGAGGGGTGTACTTGAATAAACAAGTTCAAAATCAATTAACTGGTAGAGGAAAAATTAGAGCAATTATCAATTTCTAGATTTTACAAAAAAATATCTGTAAGGAGATGCTGTTTGAATTGAATAATTCTACAATTTCTGCTTCGTGATTATTTCTCTAGGTAAAATAAAAGAAAAGAAAATAAAAGCATTACACCAAAATCATCCAAAAAGTTCGAAATAACGTACTGTTACCGTGAGCACATGATTTTTGCCCCACATATGAAATTACTCCTAAAAAATAATCCAAAAAATAATTTCAATTATTTATAAACTTTAGAAGTTTTTCTTTATTTGTTTTGCATTTATTCGCATTGTTTATGCATGTTAGGAATATCACAAATCATAAAAATATTCAAATCTTAATTTCATAGTATTTTAGTTTTTAAATTGAATTTTTAGAATTTAATTACATTATTAAATGCATTATTTAAATATCTAAAACCCAAAAAAAAAAAATACATTCTTAAGCTAGTTAATTAATTAGGTCATTAGTCAATTAGTGAGTAAAATATATATAATAGTTTAGCCACACAAATTGGTTTAGTCAAGTCCATCCCTTTAGAAGCCCAATTTTCATGACCCGCCTGACCTAACCGGATCCCCCTCTTTAAAACACCCATTTTCCCAAACCCTAAAGGGGGAGAAGAGATATAGACGGATCTCCCCTCCAAAAGACTCGGCTGGTATACATATTCTAGGAGTTCGAAGGATATTTGAGGTTTTATAGTTGCTGTTTTTTCTTGTTAAAGCAGTGTTGAACTCTGTTTGGTTGGGATTTCGCCTTTATTTGGCCAATCTATTAGTGATGTCACTGTTCAGCTAGGTCAGTTCTCAAATTTCTTGTATTATGTTTTGTTGAAATGTTGACAACTGATTGAATTCCTTGCTTGCTGTTGTTCTACCGAAATTGCTTGTTTGAACTCGTTTTACATTTTGTTCATGTTTGTTAAGAATATAGAGGTGCTGCTACGGTTCTTTTGGGTTATACCTTGTACTGCTTTGGTGTTTATTGGTGAATGGTGTATAAATCGCATTTTGTTTGATAATATGGAATCCGTTTTTATTTTTGAATTGGTTAGAATTTCCAAATGTTGAACGCTACAGTTGAGTATATTTCGGAAGGGCTGTTTTGAGGTGTGGTTGGGCAGATTTTCAATCTGTTTCTGTGGAGTTCTTTGGCTAGAATTTTAGTGTTATTTTGGTGTTGTTTCATGGTGTAGTTTGCAGCACTTTTCAGCTGCTGTTTCCCTGCATTTTGGGTGTATTTAAGACTAAAAACAAAGCTGTTTTTGTGGCTTATTTCAGGTCGATTTTGGGGCTGATTTTTTATGGAAGAAAGCTGACATTTCAGCTACTTATTTTTGCTGAAACAATGGTGTTTGGAAAGTGGTTAAAGGCTAGTTTCACGGCTGATTTTGTTGGGTTAGGAGCTAGTTTTTTTGTGGTAATTTTCAAATTGTTTTGAAGTATCTTAGGGGGTTAATGGATTGGATGATGAAGGATCATTACATGGCTACAGTGAGGCAACATATAGAAAGATGAAGAAGAGTGTGTGCTCTTCTGGACGAGCGTTCCTTAACCTTTTGCTATGGAAAGTTTACGCGAGTGGTAAAAATCAAACATGACCCATAATACCTTTGTTTAACCACCAGCTGCACAATGACCTCAAATTTAGGATTAAACGTTTCATGAACATCGTAGCTTTAGCTTGCTTTAGACGTGATTAATAAATTATTGTGGTCATGGGTACGATTTCCGTGGCATGGTCATGATGCATAATCCCCAATTCGAGTCTGCGTTTCACGTGACTCGACCATAACTTCAATAATTTAAATAAATATGTTGTGAATCACGGTTACTGACGTGATTTGCGATGTGTACAAGAATAACAAGTGTGCGACACAGCGACTTGCTTAAACAAACTCCATAATTGTTTAAAAATCATTAAAAGCGATATAGAAGTGGTAATGCACAATAGGTTCTAAAACATGTAATAAATCAGACAATTAGGCCAATTATTACAGTTGAGCGATCGTGCTAAAACCACGAAACTCGGGAATGCCTAACACCTTCTCTCGGGTTAACAGAATTCCTTACCCGGTCTTCTGGTTTTCGCAGACTTTAAACAGAGTCAAATTTTCCTCGATTTGGAATTTTAAAAAAAATCGGTGACTTGGGACACCATAAATTATTCCAAGCGACGACTCCGATTAATTAAATAATCTCATTTCGAATAATGTCACTTAAATTGAAAAAAATTTCCTATCCCCTCGAAAAAAAGAGGTGTGACAGTTACTATATGTATACCTCAAATTGAAGATTAAAAGTTTCCAATCATTTCTAAACTACATGTAGATTGTAGACCATGAGTTTACGTTTACTTGCTACTTATTATGTATAGGATATAATCTTATGACGTAATTGTATAAAATATCTCAAGTTGAGTCACAGAGTATTATTTATTTTAAAAAATATGCACAGTGATAAAAAGCAAAAATGGTGTACTCAAACCTCTTTATAACAGTCTTGTTTGTTTCGAATATTTTTGGATGTTATAGCAAAGTGCTGTTATAGAGAACATATATTATAACATAACAAAAATATTGGTTCCGAAAAAGCTTGACTTTTATAGTGAAGTGTTGTTATATAGGGATACTGCTATAGAGAGGTCTAACGGTATACAGAATATACTAAGAGAACCATATATGTAAAAAAAATTCTCCAGCTTGGAAATTATGTGTTTCAATCTTTTCAAGATTAAACTAACGGAACGAAAATAAAAAATTGATGTAAAATTTGAAGAAAAGATAAGCAAACAACAACATGCAATAATTTTTACTGATCTAGCCGTTATTGTAATGTTGAACTTCAAATTCACCTAATTAATAGCCGGCCTGGCCAAGTTTCTTTTTTATCAAAAAAAAAAAAAAAATTCTCCTTTTTTTGGCCAAAAGTATTTTTTTCTAAAGATGATGTTTGGCCAAATTTTTAGAAGAAAAAAAAGCTTTTGAATAGAAGCAGATTAAGAAGGAGAAAAAAGTAGCTCTCCCAAAAATACTTTTTTGAAAAATATTTTTCACGAAAATATACTTAAAAGTATTTTTTAAAAGTTAGGGCAAACATTAATTTCTATTCAAAAGTAGAGTCGTCAATACGGGTATGGTCCATTGGGCCAGCCCAACCCGTGATTTAGCAGGGTTGGGCTAAAATTTTTGGAGCCCATTTAAAAACTAGGCTTTTAAGCCCAGCCCGAGTAAGCATGTGGCCCGAGTAAGCCCGTGGCCCGAGAGTCTTGACTAAGGTTTTGTTGGGCCGGCCCGTGGGCGTAATAAAAATACGTATTTAAAATATATAAAATATAAAAAGTATATTACACAAAAAATGACAGGAAGAGTATCCCAAGCTTAAAGTTTATTAAGCTCATCATATTAAAAGATTAAAGTCTTAAAACGTTAATTAGTTTTAAAATTTTAATTATTCTTAATATTTAACTAATTAATATTGCATACAAATTGTAGATGTAGATGAAAGTGAAGATATTAAGACAAGCTTCTCATAAGTAGATTCAAATGTGTTTTATGAAGATGATGTGTTGGATATCCCATAAGCGTCAGAGACGTTCTCTTGAATAGTTTGTTTTGATTTTTGACTTTTAGTGAATGAAATATAGTCTTGTCTTTTACTTTTTTAGTGTTTACTGTAATATATTGGAATAGTATAAAAAGTTAGTAGTACATTTTGTGAAATTTTTTCAATAAGATTTTTTTAACTTTTAAATATTTATCGTTTTTAGATTAGAACTTAAAGAAAAAATATAAAATTATATTTTACAACAAAATAGGCCGGACCGTGGGGGCCCGCAGCCCACATAAGGCTGGGTGGGCTGGCCATTATAAGGCCCATCAAAATTGTGGGCTAGCCTAGCCTAGCCCGTCAATTGCTAAAGCCCACGTGGGCTAGGCTGGGCTAGCCCGACCTCGCCCATATTGACAACTCTACTCAAAAGTGCTTTTCAAATAAATTAGTCAAACACAAATCGCTTCTCATCCAAAGTACTTTTGTAAAAAGTACTTTCGAGAAAAATAATTTTTCAAGTTAAACTAATTTTAAAAGCTTGGTCGAACATGCTATAACCATTGGTATCCTTTGCATGGTTGTGCTCAAAATGGACCTCCAGCTACTTGGGTATGGGCCTGTAAGACAGAAGAGGTCGGTGAAGTTGTTGGGAATAACCTCGGTCCACAACATCAATGGTCAAGATCTTTACACAAATAGCCGATCAAATTCACTGTTTACTTTTTGTAGCCGGTATGTATAGTTACACATTAATTATACACATATATACACATACTATTATATATGATATATATTATACATCCACTGATTATTTTTAGTTTAAGCGGTTGAGTGGCCGCTATTTAGGTTAATTCTTCTTGTGTGTGTATTTGTGATGAAACAAAAAGCAGTTACATATTTGTTGCTACTTGTGGGCTAAATTATATATTTAGGTTGTTGTCCAGAGCTTTGGTATGAAGATTGGATTAGTGGCGTTAGGAAGAGAGTCCAGAAAAGTAGACAAGAGTCGAGAGGTTCTCACCTCAGACTATTAAATTAATTGAGTTAATTAAGTTGGTTTAGGGAGGTAACTACATGAGAGAAACCATTTACTGCATTGAGGGATCATTTTTTGGTTCACGAATTAGTTATGCAGGAATGTAATTTTGTTAGTGAATAATATATGAATTGCCAACTTCTGGATGTCAACTTAATTTGATACTTATGGATATTGTTTAATCCAATTATTTTGTTCCATCAATTCTCCCACCTTTAGCTTTCACCATATTAATATTTGTAATGTTGATGGTTATCTTTTTTTATTTTTTCTACTATGCTTGATATTTCAAATAATCTCAAACCATCAAGACTCAAGAATTGCAGACCCTGTTTAGATAACTCATTTGATGTGCCTAGGGGTGTAAAAAATACCGATAAACCGTACAAAACCGATAATTCGAGTCAAACCGAGAAAAACAAAACCCGACTATGGTTTGATTTGATTTGGTTTGGTGTTGGAAAAAAAAAATCCGACCATAATTGGTTTGGTTTGGTTTTAACTAAAAAAAGTCGTTTCAAACCAACCCGACATTACATTTATGGAAGTTTTAAATATATTTAATACATAAAAATATTTATTCTAGTGTAGTTTATCAATATTTCTTAAACTTTTTCATAATTTTATGTTTTAACGTATTATTTCAAACTTGGACTTATAATTTTTAAATGCTCCAATAAATTTTATAACTCATAAATGTTAATAACTCAAAACAAATCCCAAACCAAAATCAAATCAATATTAATATTAACAAAAGACATTCAATTCAATTGCTAGGAATGACATATCTATTTATTTAGTTTTTTCACGGTTTAGATAAAATGCAAAACTTATTTTTTTTAGTGTTTAGCCATGTAAATAATAATACTTATTAGTCGTACTTATTTTAGCAACTTAGTAATTTACGATTATATTTATTTCCATTATGGCTTATTAATAATATTTATTTTATGCGATTTTATTATCTTTATTGTTGAATTTTTAGTACAATGTCATGACTCATCTCATATTTTATGTTAGTTTCTTGGAAACACCTCATATAATTATGTCTTACTAGGATTAAAGAAATATTTGGAGCACAAATTCTATGTTTTGTGCTATGAAAACTATATGAAAAAAAACTGAAACAATCCGAAAACTCGAAAAACCCGAAATTAAAAAAATCGACTATTATTGGTTTGGTTTGGTCTTTAGATTTAATAACCGGACATAATTTATTTGGTTTGGTAATTAGAAAATCCGAACCAACCCAACCTATGTACACGCGTAGATGTGCCACGTAAATGTGTAAGTAACAATAAATTAAAGGACCACCAAAATGTTCCTAGTTTTTCTTTGTTATAACTTTCCAAGGATCAACATGCTTTATTCTTTGGTCATTTGATATTAATGAATATGTTTGTTCAGTGATCTACATTTATACTAGTAGGGTAGAAGCATTTCTTCCCCACTTTAATTGCCTTTTTTTTTCTTTTCAAAAGGGTACACTAGCTAACCTCAATAACTTGGAGTAGGATATATATAATACCAATTTCGTAGTGCTAAATGTTATATGCATAAACCTTTTTATCATTCTTTAAAAGAAAAATAACTAACATCATGACTAGTTGACCACTTGTCGAAGTAAAAAACAAGTTGTAGACACTAATTTGTCACTAGCACACGCGAAGGTTACAGGTTCGAGCCGTGAAATCAGTCATTGATATTTGCATCAGAGTAGGATGCCTACATTATACTGCTTGAGGTGCGGCCGACCCTTCTTTTAACCCTGCGTGAACACGGGATATTTTGTTCAATGGGCTACCCTTTATTTATGCTCGAAGAATAAAGCTGCATGCAACATATTACACTCTGAAAATCTTTTGTTTCATAAATATAATAGGAGTAATAGAAAAACTTATAACTAAAGAGCTTAAAGTATGTGCTTTGACAAAGTACACTATTAAAAAGCGTAACGTGACAAGCCTTTTGCGTCAAACGGAACTAGAATATACTTAATTAATGCAGTTTCATTATCATTTTCAAGGTAGATCGAGTTATCCGCCAAGAGATAGTAATCCACGAAAGAAGAAATAAATAGGTGAAAGGAATTGAAATGGACAAGCTGACATATTAAGATTTAAGCCAACCACAGTACATTTGAAGCTAACAAGGATACCAATAAAACTTGTGGTGGAATATGGTAAGTACGTACCCTTTTTTCCTTAATCAGAGATTTCGGGTTAAAGTCCTATATATGAAGTCGCCTTTATTAGTAAATATTTTACTTTAAAAATGAAACTTCCTTACAAGAATTTAAATTTAATCGAACCCTAACACAAATATCGACACCGAATGAGAAACCAAATAAGAAACAAACAAGGACACGAACCTGTGTCAAATAACAAGCATTTAATTTGATACTTGGTGGAGAACCTCATATAACATATGCCATACGTAAGTTGCCAGCAATATAATGTGATAAGGATCTTAATTATTTCTTGGACCACTTTGTGAGAATTTAATTTAAATAATTTCAGGCAGAGCTAAGAGACCTGATCGATCACTTTATGCACTGGACAAAAAATAAATTCAAGAGAAATGCCGTGTATATTTTCATGTTAGGGTTAAATAATTATGTCACACATTGAGATTGAAAACTGGTTTATGGAGGTCTTAATTACATTATTCTATTATTTCGTTTGAAGTTTTAAGTTGGATCGATGCTTAATTAGTTTCTGTTGGTTTTTAAGTAAATGAACGCATATCTCCTTATCGAAGCGGTTCTCTTTCAACTTGAAGAAATTTAATTAGTACAATATTATATGACAAATAATTCTGAACCAGGTTCTCATGTGAATATATCTAGAAGGAAAATATAATAGACTAGGATTTATATGTGATTTGTTTTTTTTTTGGGTCACTGATATAAACATCCTTTAGTCATCCTTGTGCATTTTTCTTGGTTTACTTTTTAATAATATTGGATTTCAATTTCAATAGTGACATAAAGCTAAGACTACTGAGTGATTGAGATGATTTAGGTTTTTTTTTTCAACGGATAATTTAGGATAACCTTTTCAATTATTGTTGAAAATTGACTCGTCTCTAAAGTTGAAATTTAAAAGCCACTCGAAAAGTCGCAGTTATAGGACCAGCTGGCTTTCATCCAATACAGAGATATGTCTATCATGGTCTTAAATTTAAAGACTTTTTGAAATTATCTCCTAAGTAGAGAAATTAAATAAGAGGGGTGGGGTTGGATAGAGAAAGAAATTATAACGGAGATACCTTATAAAAAAAATAGCAAAAAATTCTACATATGCTCAAGTTCCACATGTTCAAGTATCAAGATTTTTATGTATTAAAAGTATTTTACTATTTTTTTTATATTTTTTATTTTTATTTATGATTTGACCAAGGTTTAAAAGGCGTCACATAACACAAGGGGGAGAGGGCTTTAATGAAAAATCACATTAATCGATTTAAAAATATACATAAATAACAATATTTTGTAATATAAGTACTTTTATTTACCAAAAAAATAAAAGTACCTTTTGTATTAGACTGAAATGCCTTTAAAATCGTATAACAAAATTAGATTAAGAAGTACATCCTTACACAGAGAAGGACAAGAAATGGAATGCAAAGGAAGATAGCAAATTTTCTTAGAAGGGTATTTCGGATTTCGTAGATTTAAAAAATAGGAATAATATAACAAGAATTAAGATCAAACCAAAAGTACTTAAAAACTGAAAAATTATAAATTGGGGTTGACGAAACTTACAAGTTTTAGCTTATTTTGGCTCACTTTAAATATTTACCAATCACATATATAAAAACAAAATATGCTTATAAGTTGATCTAACTAACTTATAAGCTTAATCAACGCTCTCTAAGTGATCTATTATACCCTAACTCATAGTGCCATTTGGTTTGTTGAATTTCTTTTGGTACTATTAAGTGCCATTTGGTTTTACAATTAATGGAATGTCCATACGAAATTTTGATGGATCAATCAAGATGGTTAACCTATTACAGGATTTCAATCCAAGCCCTCAATCTCAAAAGCTTTAGCTTGGATGGATAGACGTTATACGACTACTAGCTATTAAGTATTTCGTATATAGCAACATTGTGACCTTCTCCCAAGTCAATCACTTATTTGACCCTCAAAAGTTACTAGCGTGCTATAATCGAAATAGATCAAAAGAATAACGACGCCCATATGACAGATGTGAACAAATGTCAAATAGGTCAAAAGCTCAGAATAAAACAAGTCAGAGATTCATAATAACTTCATTGATAGATCATCGAGCAAGAAAAATGATTTATGACATTTTAGGTTGAAAAACTCTATAGGCGTGTCATCAAGTTAGGGTAAGCCAACTTTAGAACTCGATAATGATCACCCACCTTTCCGATCTAACACCACATGCCGATCAAAATTTCTAAAGCTTATCAACATCTATAATTGGCTTGCAAAATAGTTATACTCGGTTTTTTAATATGGTTGGACAAGGGTGAACCAAGCCACGAGGAGTAGGAATATCACTTTCATGTCAAGTTGGAATTTAATTAAAGGAAGTAAAATAGTCACATCACACCACAATTATAAATTATAAATTATAAATACACTTCAAGAAAGAAATAGCTTAATGAGCAAAGATAGGAATGTCTTGCAAGACGAGCACGTGCCATTGATAGTAACTAATCGCATACAAAGATAGTAGGGTGTGCTATTCAATGCTAGGGGCCCTCCTCTAGTGAACGAACACCTATGATTGATATTAGCTAATACCAAAAACCAAATGATGCATGGATAAATGCAATCCCAAATTTAATGAAGAGATTAGTATCCTAATCTTGGTAATCAAACTACCCTTAGCTTAAGGTATAGTCATGAAGAAAGTACATTGAGACTACTATTTATTCATAAGTTTTAGTAATTCTATTAATTAAATACGTAATTACAGAATTTTTAGCTACTTTCGTTCAAGTAACTCAATAACCTTAGAATATTGTATTCACAAGAATTGTAAAATCTTCTGAAAATCCTAATATTCTTATAAAATTTATAACTGGATAATTAAAGAATAGAGTTTTATTTTGAATTCTTGGAGACCGCGGGTAAGACATGCGTGGAGTGGCTCTCTAGGTTGTTTAACGTTATTTTTAGGATGAAGAAGATGTCTAAAGGGTAGAGGTGGAGTATGATGATTCGGTTGTACAAGAACAATGGTGATATCCAAATTTGCAACAACTATAGGAGTATCAAGCTGTTAAACCATATGAAGAAATATTAGGAGAGGATGGTAGAAGGGAGGGTGAGGAGGAATATGTCTATTTTCGAGAACTAGTTCGGTTTCATGCCGAGTCGATCGACTACAGAAACCATTCATCATGTGAGGAGATTGGTGGAGCATTATAGGACAATGAAGAAGCACTTGCATTGGTGTTCATTGACCTAGAGAAAGCATACGATAAAGTCCTGAAATAGCTTCTATGGAGATGTTTGGAAGCTAAAAGTGTGACACGAGTAAGGATAGCGGGAGGAGACTCAGAATATTTTTTGGTTGTGATGGAATTGCATCAGGAATCAGTCCTTAGCCCATTTTTATTTTACTTGGCGATGGACGCATTGATGCGGCACACTCAAGGAGAGGTACCATGTTGTATGTTATTTGCAGATGACATAGTTCTGATTGATAAGATGCGAGGTGGTATTAACGAGTTCAAGTTGAGTAGGACCAAAATAGAATACTTGGAGTGCAAGTATAGCGACATTACCCAGAAAACGGACATGGATATGGCGCAGCTGGAGCTTACTGAGGACATGCCTCTTTATAGGAAGGTGTGGAGGTCGAGGATTATGGTAGAAGGTTAGTACGTCGTCGAGCGTTTCCCTTTGTCTTTCCCAATGTGATAACATTAGTGCTAGTATGATATCTTTTTATTCTTAGATTGCTATTACTACCTACGATTTAATTGTTATCTTGGCTTCGGTTTTCTTAATATCTTATTGTTGTTACTACTTATTTTCACTGCTTCTTTTTATTTGTTCTTTAGCCAAGAGTCTATCAGAAACAGTCTCTCTACCTCCCAGGATAAGGTTAAGGATGCGTACATCCTACCCTACTCATATCTTACTTGTGAGAATTCACTGAATTTGTTGTTGTTGTCGTAGAGTTTTATTTTGAACAACAATGAAAATGGCTACTGAACTAACATACTCTTCCATTTAATGATGGCACGACAGGAGTAATATTTGTTATTAGTAACTGTGAATGGTGAAGGGGAGTCTTGGAGCAACGGTAAATTGTCTCCATGTGACCTTATAGGTTACGGGTTCGAGCGCGCTGTGGAGGTTGCCTACATCACATCCCTTTGGGATATAGTCCTTCCCCAAATCCTGTGTCAATGCGAGATGCTTTGTGCACCGGACTGCCTAGTAACTGTGAATGATACAGATCTTAAGTGAATTTTAATTCAAAATATAATTTAACCTTTTTATACTTTTATACTAAGCAACTAAAAGAGAACTATTGAATTGAAGTTTAGACCCCAATGTTGCCATCTCTCTGAAGAGATTTGTATATTTTCCTTCTTTTCCTACAATTTGTAAATGACCCTCTTTTTCCTTCTTGCTGTCTTGTAAAGAAAACTTTTGACATTTTTCTGGTCGTCCTTGCTGGAAGTTGGACTTTGTTTGCATTATTGCATACCTCCTCCATCTCCGTGCTCATCACGTTGACACATTGGCTTTTATCTCAGTTTGTTCGACTAAGCCAATATAAATAGACACTATTAATATGGTGCGATATGGTATATTTTGAGTTAATCATACACTTTGTTTTCCTAAAAGGCTTCACACTTTTAAAAGTATGAACCGCGTGAGGCTTCATTGTCACACCTAACAAAAACATCATCTCACCGCTAATAGAACTAGACAAAAATTAAATTCACGATTTTTCTTTTCTTTAATAAGTGTTCTACAAAAGAGACGCGATTACTTAAGAGCGTGAAATAAGCTAAGACATTAGAAAGAACAATATCATAATTCAGTTACATAGCTTTGGAAATAAGCCAAAAACACAAGTACAGAAGCAAACGATGTACGTATGGCATTAGACAGCTTAATTCACAACATACACTTAAACTGAGTGTCGCAGATTACACACTAGAAGAAGAGCAAGAACTAAGAAAAATGGCTAGTTCAATTTATTATTGAAACTGCATTGATAAAAAGCGGCTAGCCCGATGCACTAAGCTCCCGCTGGGTCTATTCTTCGTAGCCTTACCCTCTACAAGAGGCTGTTTTTATGGCTCAAACATGTGACCTCCTAGTCCATAGGAGCAACTTTACCAGATACACCATTGGGAAATAGTGGAAATTCTGAATTTTTAAACCAAAACCTTTTCCTCTTCTAAATATACAAGAAATCTGCAGGACGTTCAGTATATGAACTAGAGAATGATCTTGTAGTAAATTCATGTTTCCTATTTCCTCCATCAAATCTACTCAGCTTACTCTCAGCATGAAACCTTGTCATTGGCACAACACACTCATTCTTTAACTGCCTTTGAGTCATCTCCATTGATGTTTTTTCACTACCTTTATATGCATCTCCTACAACTCCAACAGCCTTATGACTATTACATCCCAAAAGAATACCCGAACGACGTTTCGCTTTCTCTCTCCCTGCTGTTTCTTTCCCATACTTGGTTCTAATTGAGGGTATTTTCGTCTCTTCTGAATCAGACATTATAGAGAAATCAGCAGCACTAGCAGTGACAACACTCCAATCAATACTAACTTCACTTGGAGCATAACATGACATGCCATCTGAACCTTGTCTAGCAAAACTTGGATTTGCTGTATTATTACTTGGAAAACTTTCAATTTCAAACAAATCTGAACTTGCATCACTTTCTGCATAATCATCTTCATATGTTCCATTTGAACTTGCTCCTATATTGATAATATCAATTTCTTCAGGTTTTGTAGCAATTGCATCCCAAGTTAACATACTTACCTTTTTCTCAAGACTCAGTTTGGTTCTTTCTTTCTCTGTTATTGAAGAGCCAAACACTTCTAAGGACTTTCTATTGATGTCTTCTTCCTTTTGCAGTTGTATCTTGACACCTGGATTTCCAGCTATAGGATCGAAAACCGGAACCTTTCCAAATCCCAATTCATCAATTTTCTTGAAGTGTAAATCTTGATGATTAGCTCCTGTTGTACTGGACTCAGAACTTTGAGCTAAGCTTCTTGTTTTGATGGGGTTTTGTTTTGATTTTCCATGATATTTTCCCTTGTTGAAACTGTTTTCGCCGACTTGATCATCAACCTTAACAGAATTCTTGTCTTTACAATAACAATTGCAGCCAATTCTGGCAAGGAATTTCTTGCCGTAGGACTTGTTATTGGTATTTGCTTGTGGCTGATGCTGATGATTTCTTGAAATATTCTGCAATAATGCACTTCTACTATTCCAGCTTGATTCTGAATGAATACTTGGAGTTTTAGGCCTAGTATTTTGTTTCAAAGAAGATATATTAGTAGCTGGCTTATCAATCCTGTGTTTGTTTTGTGGTTCACTATTTGTGACATTTTCTTGATTTTCTTCATCAACCCCTTCATTGAAGTATTTTTCTGCACTAAATATATCTATTTCTCCATCATCTGTTTTCTTGCTCAAATTTCCACTTGACTCAAGATTGTGTACAAAGGTATCTTCAGTACCATTTAAGTAAGAAGAAAATGAGGCATCAAGAAGATTGTTGCCACTTTTTGTGTTCAAGTTGTTTGGCATGTTGGATTCTAGTGCTGAAGTCACTTTAACCATAGCCATGGGAGACTAAAATTTTGTATTTGAGTGGAAGTCTTTTTTATGTAAGCAAACAAAAACAAAGGCAAGGGGAAAAGGACTTAAACAGAAGAGAACTAAAACTTTGTGCAGAATAAGGCTTTGTGAGAAGTCAGATGGGAAGCACTAAACTACCATAGGAAGCTCATGAAATTACTTTGGCTGCAGATATAGTTATAGTATCATAGGAGAAAAAAGGCAAAAAAGAAAAAAACAAAAAAAAGAAGATGGGAGTCTTGGAGTAACGGTAAAGTTATCTCCGTATCTATAGGTCACGAATTCTTCAAGCCATGAAGTCAGCCATTGATGCTTTCATTAAGGTAGGTTGTTTATATCACACTCATTGGGACACGGCCCTTCTTCGAACACTGCATAAATGCGAGATGTTTCGTACACCAAACTGCCCTTTTAGTTCACTATTGAAGTTGATGGTGCTTAATAAAGCTACACTCTTTCTTTTTTTTTCACCTATTCAGGATAACACATCACTAGTTATTAGAGTTCTCAACATCAGATTGTGATTTTCCTTTGACATTTGTCCCACCTTTTTAGAGGTTTTATTAGTACTTACAAGAACTTTCCCACTTTTTGAAAGTAGTAGATTTACACTTTTCTTCTATTCAACTTTCTATTTTCTTTATTAATCTTAAACTGTAATTCAATTCTGAGTAAACCTGAAACTATTTCCGAAAAAAAAGGGAAGATGACTTCTGTGATACCAAACACACTTAAATTATTTTCGAGGTGACAAGTTACTTTCACCTATAATGTGCAATTCTCAATCATAGAGCTATAACTTGTATAGTAAAATTGGTGATATAAATGTACAGCTTAAATTTAATATCTAGGAGAAATGCAGAATATTTGCTTGTCCTTTGTGGAATATATTTAATTTGTTAATATGGTGTAGGAGTAGATGGGATTAGGAATCTATCAAAAAGGCTTTCATATCAATGCAGTTGCCCCACATAAGTTCAAGCTTTAGCCATCACAAGTTATAAAACAGAAGAACAAGTCAATTAAATGTTGCTTTGTCAATTTGACCCATAAGGATTACTGGCCACACAAGGTTCACCATATCTACAACATTTACAATCAAATCTGAGTATGAACAGATAACAAATTTTAACTCATTTGGTATCAATAATGGTGATAATTCTTGTGTACATGCCCCTTGTCGGCAAATTCTTCTGCAAATCCAGTGATTCACGTACTACTTGATACACACAGCACACCATTTTACAACTTGGTGGACTAGGGATTTTTACATGACGGAGCACAGTATTCTGCTCAACCAATGCTCTCTAAAAGCTTTTAGTGTTTAGGATTCCAAGTGCTTTATATTAACCATTTTTAAGGTATATACATATAAATATATTAGATTCCTGCTGAAGTTTACGGGTCCGGTGACCCCTCACTATAATACATACGTCGTCTCTGGTAGTGAGATGGCTAGGGTCCCTCCACACTTAAATAGAAATCTCGGGTTCGAGCCTTCGGTAGGGAGCGTTTTTTTCTCGCAGTGTGTCTATCCGGCGCAAATCTAGATTAGTCGAACCGGTTTGTTTCGAATAATAAATGTTAAACCAAAATAATATTTTTTTTTTTTAAATGTAGGGCAGTCCCGATATGTTGATGATCATGTACTTATATATACAATTCTGGCTGAGAAATTTGTTCTTTCAAGGGTTATCAATGCATGTAGTTTGACGTGGCTAATAGAGATTAGTATGTTTTTGGCTTAGTTTCTAGATGCAGATGGATAATCTGTGTTCTTTAGCTCTTAGCTTCACTTAGTAACAAATTTTGTCTTAAATAATTGTACCCCACTAGAAAACCTAGTAGCCTAGTGGTAATGACACGTCAAGTACAAGTAGAGATTCAGAACCTCAAATGTATAAGTTACACTGTGTGCGAATCCCGGATAAATCAAAACCTTAATGCGGGTACCGAGACATTGGTGGGTAAACCTAAAAAACAACCTCAAATATATAGGTTGAAGCTTTAATGCGGGTAGTGAGATACCGGATGGGAAACCTAAAAAAGAACTCAAATATATAGGTTACACTACACGCGAATCCTGGATAAATCGAAGCCTTAACGTGGGTACTGAAACACCAGATGGGTAAACCTAAAAAAAAACCTCAAATATATAGGTTACACTGGGCGCGAATCCCGAATAAATGCGAGTAGACACCGGGTGAGTAAACCTAAAAAAGAACCTCAAATATATAGGTTGAAGCTTTAATGCGGGTAGTGAGATACCGGATGGAAAACCTAAAAAAAAATTCAAATATATAGGTTACACTACACGCGAATCCTGGATAAGTCGAAGCCTTAACGTGGGTATTGAAACACCAGATGGGTAAACCTAAAAAAGAACCTCAAATATATAGGTTACACTGGGCACGAATCCCGAATAAATGCGAGTAGACACCGGGTGAGTAAACCTAAAAAAGAACCTCAAATACATAGGATATGCACAGTGATACTATTTTATTGTGGCAATAAGATCAATGTCCTGAAGTTTCTTGGATTGAAGCATTGGTTCTTTGCTATTTCTCCAAATCTGTAATTAAATGTACTACTCCATGCCTGCTACACTTTTCCAAAATATGAAACTATTTAAGTTCCAATCACCTAATGTAACATACTTATACCATCTACTAGAACCTAAATAGCTTTATCTATCTGCATTTCCCTACTAAAGACTAGACCAAGAGACAGATATAACTCCACACATTCTCTTGAAGAAATAACACTTTCTGAATCAAGATATCATATAAGAAATAAACAAGATCCAAAGGTTCCACTTTGATTGAACACATAACAGAGTCTGTTTTTCGAGGGAAGGAAATGTTTTTCTAAGGATTCTTGAAAAGCTTCATAAATAATCCAATGTAGCTCAGTTTTCAGTATCATTATCTAATGAAGACGATTATAAAGGCAAAACAAATAATCTGGTATAACTTATGGAACCATCAACATTAAAGATACGCCGTGGAGCCTCCTCCTAAGGACCTTGCTCGATCAAAACTTTCTCGTGGTGGCATAACCATGGATTTGTAGTCGTAAAANGCATAACCGTGGATTTGTAGTCGTAAAATGTTGGTCTTCTTGATCTACGAATTCACGGATCAGACATCTTCGGTGGCATTTCATTGCGAGGATGTTGTGGAGTTAAGAGTCCAATATTGTTTGACAGCAACCAATATTTTCTCAGGAACAAGGGGACCGTCCTCATGATCCATCAATTTGAAGTTCCACCTCATGCCTCCTATTATCTTCTTCACCTTGATCAGTACATCTACGTCGTCTCTAAGAATGACAGCTCCTTCTGGACGCAAAATACGGTCCATCTCTAAGAGAATGTCTTCAAATTCACACCTGTACAATTAGAAAACAGTCAACACAAGAATGTTAAAATGCTAATTTAGTCCAAGACATATCAATTAGTACTATTTTTTTCTGTATATGTATCTCCATTTCATCCGGAATTTTTCTTTCTTTGGCTGGGGGTCACTAGTTGGGAGAGACGTGAGAGACCAGAGCGACAAGTTGGCATTACTATTCAATAAGAACAATGCAACTACACACACAAACTTGTGCTGGTACATCAAATATCAGTCATTATACCATACTTGATCTTGAGAAGGTTACTACCCTAAAATTTTAAGTAGCTAACCATTTACTATCAGTCTATATTTACTTAGGCTACCTTCCCTTTTATCGTATCCCAATCAATTAGTTACTCCCTCTGTTTCAATTTAGATGACACACTTTCCTTATTGGTCCGTTCAAAAAAGAATGACACATTTCTACAATTGGAAATAATTCAACTTTAAACTCTTCATTTTATCCTTAATGAGAAGCTTTTATAACCACAAATGACATGGCCCCACAAAGTTCCCCTTAAGCTTTTAAGACAACAAGTTTTAAAAGTCTTCTTTTTTTCTTAAACTCCGTGCCGAGTCAAACTACCTCATCTAATTTGAAACGGATGGAATACTTAATTGGCAAAGTTCCCTTGGTCCAAGTATTTGAACCAATTTGACATAAAATAATTTCTATTGTTTCAAAACTCATTTGGCGTCAGATTAACCAACCTTCACAGATGCAACTTTGTCTACACACCTACCTCTAATATGATGACCAAAATTTTATCTCTGCTTGGTCAGGCGGAAAAAGGAATTTGTGCATAGAACCAATTAAGTCACCATTACTTAGTAGCCAACTAGGCATGACCAACAATAAGACGAGCTGCAATAGCCACAGTGCTACTAGGCTCTTTATGTCATTGAAGAACATGCTAAGAAGTAAATTAGCAATAAAAATAAAGTACTGAAGATAAAAACTTACTTATCCTTGTATAAACTGAAAAGGCCACTAGCATGAATGAGATCATACGTCCTTGGGTATGTAGAAAATGCTTCACACCTGAATCACAAGATTACTATATGATCAGAGGATAGCTTTCTCTTCGACATACGGAGAGAAATAAATAGAATAAAGTAAAATATAACACTTGTATCTCCTTGTAAAAAACAAAGATAAATCTGATACAGGCTCAAACAGCATACTGTATTTTCTTGATATCGCTTGTGCTATTTCAATAAAGCAGGAATCGTTTCTGATAGAAACAAATGAAGAAACTTTTCTTTTTTGTATATATGTGGCTTAGGTGCATTTGTGAAATATTTTCACAGAATCTTAAGAGATGATTACATCAAACATGAAATGTGATCTGAAGTTTAAGGCCTCTCTTTTTGTTACATATTTAACCCGGAAGAATCTGATTTTATTATCCTCTTAAGGTCTAGACCTTAACATTTTCTCTACCAAAGCTAGAAGTAGTAAACACAAATAATGAAAGCACGAAGGAATATTAAGATCAGGTTATATATCAAGTGCTTCCTTTCATATGACAAATCTTTTCAAAAGATAGGGTTGTTTCAATAGTTGTACGTACCAGTCATGATAAATGCCAATTAGTCCCCGTTCATATATAACTCCCAAAGTATTCTTCTCAGCTATTGTTGGCATAACATTCATAACCCAAAACTTAGGAGAGTGAAGCGCTGCTGCAAAACCTCCTAGTCCAGCATTCATGTCCATAATGTTGCGGTACCTTCCGGTGTCCAGGAGCTTGTTGATCTTTTTATAAGCACTTACGTGTTTCTTCCATTTCTTGTTGTCTTCCTCATATTTCTCAACAGACACTCCTGAAACTTGTCCGTTGGCAATTCTTGGGGGAACAGCATAAAGTCTCTCGGGGAATGGCTTTAGACTCTCATCCTCACCGCTACCATTGTTTGGTGTTATGCATGTTTCCATTTTGTTGTACCTGAAACCAAAAAGGCAAAAATTAACAGATCAGCCATGACCTTGATTTTCAATACTGAATCTATAATTCTATATGAACACAACAACCAAGTCCAATGAATTGGCTGCCTCGGACAAAACACAGTAATCATGCATTTGAAAATACAAATGATTTTAGGGTTGTATATACCAATCCTACTGTTATATCACATTCAGCACAAAAAAAACGCATCTATGATAAATGTGGAATTACTTTTAAGTTCTCTGGAAATCCCAAAACCAAATAGCCGCAAAATTAAACCAGTTAAAATATTCAATTCTATCAGAAAACCGGTTTGGACAAAGATAAAGCAACGGTTATCTTGTATCCAATCATTAAAGTAGAACACTGCTGTTCGTCATGCAATTAGCTATAAATTATTGTATTCCTGTGGTGGTACATACATTGTGTTCAACAAGAATTAAAACGATTTCAGCTGCTATAATAAGCAGAATCATCGAATAATGAGATGGCCAGAACTGCTAATAAGCGCATAGGAGAACAGATTAAAGTGCAGAACAAGTTATTTGACTTGCTTGTACGTACACCAGAGAAACACCAAAGATAGTCAAACAAGGGTGTAACTAAATATGAAGGAAAAATGTTACTTCTAAAATACTGCTTAAATCATTAAAGAAAACTTTGAACTGATAGTAACGTGTCTAATGCATTAAAGAAGGGGCCCAGGCTTGGAGAGTTCAGATAAGTTCTGGCATGCTCACTAAGACACTGCACAACAGCTTTCACTTAGTAAGTTAGCAATGTAATATTCACGTTATCAGATTATGGCAAGTGGATTTCCTGCATACTTGGCAAATCTTCTGCCACCTAAAGTCCTAAACAACTTAAATCCGCATACTAAACCGTCTTGGCATGCTATTAATTCATAAGAAATAAGTTTCTCAAGCTCAAGTAATTCTAACTGGTGACATGTTCTAATTCCGTTCTAAGGCACCACAAGAGTAAACCTTTTTCACAGTAGAATAGAGCTGCCACTCATGGAAAGCATGAAGCACATTCCAACACATTTCACTATAATGGCCAAGTTTTCTTTGGAACCGATCTTTCATATTATGTTATATTATATGTTCTCTATAACAATATTTCGTTATAGCAGCCAAAACATTTCCGGACAAACAGTGTCATTATAGAGAGGTTTGACTGTATTAAGTACGATGACATACCAGACATTATCTGGATCATCAGCTTTACAAATACTGGCTGCCGAATTTTCTTGTGCAGAACGGCATGAGTCAGCATCCATTCTTTTTCGCCAAATAGCAGTCTCACCCTTCTCAGATATCTTCTCCCAGCAAAGAAGTTTAGCGGCCTCTTCAATCTTCCTTTGTTCTTCTTGAAGTTCCTCCTTGGGTCGTTGCCAGGCCTTATAATTGGTTTTCCAGTTGATAGGAGGTCCAGAAAGTACCCAGTAGCCTCCAGGTCTAAGAACTCGATCAACTTCCATCATGAGGACTCCATCTACACGATGAACGAGCAAAATATGCAATTAAAAACCATTATCAGAAAGTAATAATTTGGTAAACGATAATCACATTTTTGGGCCGCCCTAAAAGATAATAACCGGCAAATATATGTTTCGTATATTAAGTATAGTTACACATAAAAGATATATATAATATACATACAGGATATTATACACAAAACCAGTGTATATGTTTTGTATATTTGGGCTAGCACCCATAAATAATATCGGCCAACGGGCCAAAAACGAAAAAAGCCCTCCGATAAAACGTAAATACAAACAAGTAAAATGTCTTCCTTATTCTAAAAATTTAACCATGTTTTCTGGATATCAAGACGAGATGCATACCAGCAGCACCCCAAGGGATAAGACAACGAGAACAATGTGCCATATCAAAGGCTTTAGATGGATATGGCATTTTGATTGTTCCTAGTACACCAATAACAGCAGGCACACCCCTTTCCAGAGCAAACTGAACCTGAGCTTCGTGCGAGTCTCTTGGGGCAAATGACATTGCTATGACATTCCTTTTCCAAAGATAAGCGCCCCAACTTGCAACCTGGCACGATTTGAGAAATTCTTAGCCCAAAACAGCATCAGAGTAACAAAACACTTTCCATGTAGGCAAGACAAAGGGACATCTTTAGTAAAAACTTAAGTTTATAAAGCAGGAAAACATACCCCACAGCCAGTGTCCAAAGCAGTTCGAACTGTCCCATTTTCGATCGGGACTACTGAAGCAAGCTGATCGATATACTTATCTGCTCCTTGAGGAAACTGTGTCCCTCCTCCCGGAAATCTAAACACGTTACCCTCATACTGAACCCAGTTCTGAATGGCTTTCTCAACCGTCAAGCTCTTATATGGAGCATTGGCATAAGGAACATAATCCCGACTTTTTGGCCATGGAAACGGGGTAACATATCCCTTAGGTGCTGGAATAAGGCAATGTAGCTTCTCCTCTTGAGGTGGACAATGCCTTTCTCGGTAGTTCATATTTTCCCTTGGGAAGGTCATCGCACGCTTTTGATCTTGACATGGTGTGTAATCAGTGTAATGAGGATCACATGGTTTGAGTTCTTCGACTTCGGACTCTGACTCATCAGTACCGCCTGCCTCGCCAGCATGACGAGTCTCAAAATTGAGATTTGGTAGTATATCACAATTCT